TATTAATGAGTTGACCAAATTTTTGGTTGAAGAATGGGATGCAGTTCCTCAATCAACAGTGAATAATTTGGTTATGTTTATGAAAACCAGATGTGAAATAGTTTTAGAAAAAACAGCGATAGAATATCATATTGAAATTTTTTTATCTAATAAAGGAATTGATCAGCTTTTAAATAAATTTAAATTCATTCAAATCGGATAGGTAGTTTGTAAGATATATTGCTTTTTGTCACTGCCATTTTTTTCATTACTCACTGTAGCTTTAATTAGTATTTCTAACTTATGCTGTAAGGTATTGTATGTTATACTATAATAGATTCTAGTTCAGTATCAGCAAAGTGCAGATTGTAGTATTAATTTACTGTAAGATTTATCAGTTCATTTTTAGAAATGAATTTCATAGGATACATATAAACTATATACATTAAAGATTATAAATTTATAGAATATAGTAAACCTGTATGATTATGTAAGTGATCACATTACATATAGAACTGTTTGAGTTTGAAACTTATGTTTAGAGGGCTGACTTGTAATGAACAAGTATCATATTATCTGCAAAGAGATCATTCTTGATAATAGGTCATGACAGATCAATGGTAGATATTATATAACTTAGATTAAATAAAGATTATGGATTACAAGTAGTTTCTAGCTAAAATGCTATAGTGTCTATAATTTAACTAGAATTTGAGAGGCCTAAGTTCAATTCTCAGGATGATTTTAATAGTTTAAATATAATGACTATATTGAACAGCTATTTCAAATTAGATTGTTAAAGACTTCTCTTTCTAGTAGTTAGTCAGAATCTATCATACTATGATAGTATTAAGAGTTTGTCACGTGACATTTACTTTGCATAGCTTATTATAATGCTAGTGATTCATCAATTCAGGCTAATTTGAGATATAGTAAAGAGAGACTTATTCCTAAATACGTTAACATATAGAACTAGTTTAAGATACTCAGGTAACTAATCAATAAAATCAACCTCAAAATATATATATATATAACTTGCTAAACAACTTTTATTTAGAGATAAAAGGTGATTGACTTTGACTAAAGTGCTCAAATTTTTTTATAAGATTAAAAAAGTGTGACTAATTTAGTAAAATTACAAAAAAATATATTACTACACAAATATTAAGCAAATCTTGATAAAAAATAGATATAAATAATATTGAATCTGTTAAATAACTTTTACTTAAAGATAAAAGACAATTAATTTTAACTAAAGTACTCAATTTTTGTCATGAAATCTTTATATAAATATTTATAAAGAAAGATATTGAATATATATAAAAATTAAAATCTACAAAAATAAAAAATTATATTTAATAAGAGTTTTTATAAGTAGAGTTTTGAATAAGTCAAGTTAACTCACAAGTCAGATAAGCTAAGTCAAGATTAAATTAAGTTGAATTTATATTTTTTTGACTCAATGATTTACGAGTCAAATCAAATTTGAGTTGAGTTAAATATTTAACTCAATTCAATTTAGTTAATTATTCTTTTATTGATAAGATAATTAAACATTAAAATAGTATAGTTTAGACCTTTATTTTAATGATTTTTTTTATTGATAAAATATATAAAAAAATAAAAATTATTATAAAATTAATTAAAAAATCTAATTTTTCGTAATACC